ATTCCTTTAACAGTACTAATAGTTCAGAAATATGACCTGCATCCTATTTTTACTCATTCAGTATACCAGGTGGGAATATGAGTATATCAGCTGAGATGAATCTGCCTCAGCCGACAGGTAAGGTTTTTAACTAGCTTCACATTGTTACTGCTACGATTCGTGCTTCTACTGCTGGTCCTTCATACTGATGGTACTAGTAGCGGCAGTGTTTCTTCTATTTAACTGATAGTGGGATAGGGCAATACCTTTAAAAGTAGAATTGATAATACAGTAAGGAGAGAGCACACTACAAGTATTAGTTTAAATGACAGCAGTATGATAATACAGTATCAAGTAGGTACAGTAGGACAGTCTAAGTCGGTGCAACAGGAATATGGAAAGTTCAGTGACGTTGGTAGTATTAGTAATAATGGTGATACTAGCACATCAGGGCTCTCCTTGTTTTCTGCCCTCTCAACTCTATACACCAAACTGTACCATCTTATTGGTTGACTAAAAGTTATTAGGAAATAGCTCAAGTATTACCATGTCTTCATGTCGCATGGTGCCATTTACCGTTCACGGGTTAACCTTTTACAGTATCTAAACTCCATCTTGAGGTTTCGGGAGAGGTCTACTGTGTAAGAGGGGAGCAGTCTGCTCAATAATCAACTAATATTGTTAGATGCTATAACTGTGTCAATAGCTGAGTAATAAGCAATAAGCATAACATGGTAAAGTGAGCTTGCTAACTTTCTCAGCTTCACGTGGTAATTCTGTAGGACACTTGGGATTTCCCGTGAGCATGCGGTCTCTTTGTAGGGGTTTGAAGATCAATCAATTCGCTTTATTGTAGGATTATGTCGTGAGGTCTTTCAAAGGTCCTTATGCATTATAGCCCCCTACTTAAATTTTAAGTAGATTGAATTACCTTTAATCTTCCGGTTTTTTACACGCCATCCATCGATCCAGCTGGGATTCGCTGATGGCATTGAACTGCAAAGCGGTTCTCCGAAGGCAACCGCATTCCATAATTGCTAAAATCAGCAAACTAAGCAAAGTTGGCCTTTTGATTTACCCATGAGAATTATCGCCTACTTACTAATTTTAAGTAGGGTGATTTACATAATCTCACCTTTTTTATTCGTTCAACTTTTTCCTAGTTGGTGTTGGTGCTACCGCTGGAAAATATCTCTCAGTTACCTCGCCCAAGGTTTGGGCACAATCACCCTGCATGTACGCGTTCGCCATTGGTCGGACGGGGTTAGCGATGATATTAAAACTCATTTCAGTGTCTTCTCCCAAGATTTGTGTACGCGACCCAACTTGCCCTCGTAACTTTTTATTTAACATACATATTAGGATCTAATTTGTTCCCTGACATGCCCCGTCCT